TTTTTTGGATTAATGTCTTGGGATTTTTTGGATAAATACCTAAGAGTGGGATTGCTGGGTCGTAAGGTAGTTCCATTTTCAGATTTTTGAGGTGCGCTCCATACTGATTTCCATAATGGCTGCACCAGCCTGCAGTCCCACCAGCAGTGCACCAGGGTTCCCTTTTCCCCACAGCCTCGTGGCTATCATCAATAAATCCTTATGATTTTCTTAATAATATTTTCTTTTCTCTAGCTTACTTTAATGTAAGAATATAGTATATAATACTTACAACATACAAAATATGTGTTACCAGTAAGGTTTCTGGTCAACAGTAAATTTTGAGAGAGTCAAATGTTACACATGGAGTTTTAACAGCGCAGGGCATTGGCACCCCTAATCCCCTACCCACGTTGTTCAAGGATCAACTGGAGTTGGTTGTGTTTGTCTTGTCGTAAGTGCTTGATAACTGTTAGCACTTATTATTTCATTTTCTCCTTGTTCTGGCAGGTCAGTGGAGTTGCATCTTAAATGAGGGTTAGGTTCCAAAAGATAAGTGATTTAGAGTTAAGAAGGGGAAAAGAGAGCAGTGTTTTATAATGTATTATTTCACACCTCTTCACCAGATATTAATGATGAACCGAAATTTCCCTTTGGACTCTACTAACAGCTCAGTAACCAAGTACATGGATTTGTGTGTTATGTACAACCCCACAAAATAGTCAATACCACCTGTTTTTCTTCAAGCATTAGACCAGGTCATGTAGTTAAGAACCAGATGACATCATTGGCTTGCAAGTAGTGGCTGCGATCTACAATAATTTATTTTTATTGTCCAAAACATATGGCTGAATTTAGATAAGTTAAAGGTGTACTTAACATGATATCACTATGCACTTATTCTTAGTATGTCCTGAAGATAAAGCCCTTGATTTGCATGAATATGTTAACTTAAATGGGTAGGTATAAGGGACCTTAAAAAGGTAGTCAATTACGTGAGATAATTTTGGCCAAAGCAAAAACCGAAACCAAATTTCCCAATATATGCTATTAAGGGAAAAGTCTACTGAAGTTAGCATTTTTGAGTTGACTGTTTGTCTTGCTTCAATACTTTTGAAAAATTTTATGGCCTACTCTGTATTGGCTCTTAGGTTGTTTATAATTTTTTGATATGAAAAATAATACTACAGTAAACATGCTTATACCTATTCTTCCATGTATATAGTTTTTTTTGGTAATCATACTATTTCATACATACTGTAGAGACCTCTTTCACCATTGAACCCATTTGTTTTGCTCCTGCATAGTATTCCATAATTTATTTAACCATAGGATGGCTCTCCAGTTTCCTTTTTTTTAAAATTATAGGTAATACTGCATTGAATCTTCTCATGTATGTGTATGATCATACTAGATACAGTATTCTAGAAGGATGCTATATTTAGGGGGAAAAAAAACACAAAACAAAAAACTAGAGGTGAATAGGATACACAGGAAAATAAGGCTCCAGACCATGAGAAATGTAAGTGAAAGAATCAGATCAATTTGGAGTACCTGTCATGTGCTCTAAAATGTTTTCTGAAATAAAGCTGGGGGACTCTAAGGTTATTTATCCTAACCTCTACCCTTATAGTACCTGATATGTCAGTCTGCTTCTTTGTAAACATTTTAAAGATAGGAAACCTTACTGCCTCGTAAAACAATAGGAAATTCAGTAAGAAATACATTCCTGAAACTTCTGTCATCAGTACTAGGTTTTCTGTCTAGGTCTGTGCAGAATAAATCTAATTTCTCTTCTTCAGTCCTTTAAATAATTCATGACCTCGTGGCATTTGTTCATCTTATTTTCAGTTCTGATTCAAAATATTGTGACAGCCTTCCGTGTATTCCTGTCATCCATACCTCTGTATCCTCTGCAGATCTGATTGACATAACACACATACTGGTTCAGAAGACAGGCTTTAGAGTCAGACAGACTGAGGTTTGCATCCTTGCCCTGTCACTCACTAGTTGTGTAATCTTGAGACGATAACCTGACCTTTTTTAAAGTCTGTTTTCTAATCTGCAAAGTTGAATTAAAGCATTTCTTCAAAAAGATGGCTGGAGGAATATGTAAGATAATACATGCAAAATACTTATCAGGCAAAAATGTAAGTGTTCACTAGATGGGAGGGGTTAGCTAACATGGAAAGAATGACAATTCCTTTACGTTTTCAAATTATTGATTACAAAACTAGGAAGGAAAAGACCAACTTGGAGCCCTGAGATAGGTCTTTCAGGTTCAAGTCAATCATCTAATCAGACCTTTCTGGGTGTAGTTGTTCATTTAACTATGAATCATCCCACTACTGACCTCTAGCCTGCATTTCTTGAATTTGCATGAAAAGACAGAATTCACTCAGTCACCTGCCCTTGGTTGAATAACTAACTACATGGAACATCATGTTTCAGTGAGTGTGCTGAGCACCAAAGAGATTCAGTAGTGACCACAGAGAGATACGGTTTCAGCTCTCCAGAGAGAGAGGACAGAGAGATTGTCCATTTCTTTGCTGACAACCCCTTCTGTGATGCCATTGAAGTTTCCCTGATCTTTTAAGGCTCTAACAAGTATTTCTAAAAAAGAAAATAATGTTAGTGCCAGATGACTTGTTCATAATGAGCACTTTTTTGCTTCTAAAAGCAGGTCTTTGTTACTCAGTTTGTTTTGTATGTTTTATAGCATTTACTGGGGATTGACATTAAGCTCATCAATTGTTATTATTATTTTGGTCATCCATATTATTCACTTTGTGAAGATTAGCTTGGTTTAGCTTCTTTCATAGTT